CACTAGCGAACCGCTACAGATTTATAAGAGTGCAATGCTGATTTTAAATTTCTCCACTATTTAATCTTTCAATCGTGGTTATACGCGAATAACGAAGGCGTACGCCCACCTATTGAATCTACAACTAGCTATTCTCGCGCGGTTTCACCCGCTGCTCGACTCCATTTAATCGTAGCGTGATGTTTTAGCCTATAGCACTCGGGAACACTATAGCTATCTATCAGTGAAAGAATTTTGGAAATCCGACCAGCGGTTCCAAAGATTACCCCCTACATACAAACTTACAAACTTTAACTTAAAAATTTTACCTCTTTATAATATTAGTATAGATAGGTGCGCGAACGCCTTCGCTTAGGGTATGATAAATTAATGAATTTTATTATACAGATATATAAAAAAATTGTAACAAAATCCGTTGCGTTACTTTGAAGATTTAACCTTACATAGGTATATAGGAATAGAGAAAGCTGCTTTATTTTTTATAAGTGATCATGATAATTATTTAAATGTCTCTTAGTGCGGCGACGGTAAGAGAGCGTAAGCGATCTAAAATATTAATATTGAAAGATTATAGAAGAGTTAAAACCTTTGCCATGTATACCTCTTCCAGCAAGTGTCGTAAGAGGCAACTTAAGGTCGAATTTTAATAACTGATCTTAGTATAAAATCACTTAAATGTGGAAAAGCCATGCCATTCCGACCGGCCCATTCATGCCGAAGTATGAATGGGTCGGTTCGACTTCAGTGATACCACTGCCTGAAACAACCACACGAAAACCGCCATAATTTAACCACAGCGTTGTGTTTCGCCGTATGACTCAGGTTACCGGATTGTATAGGCCCAATCCCTCCCCACACCCAAATCCCAAAAAGGTCGATTTTTTTAAATTTTCTCTACTTACAAGCCTTCTCTACCAAACTTCCACGTTTAATTCGAGACTTAAATTTGCCAAATCGGTAAAGACGTTGTCGAGTTATAACATTACAAAAAAACTCACGTAATTATTTGACGAGATACTCGACTAGTTTCAAGCCATGCTAGAGGCCCATATTCATGAGCAGCATTCCGCGACACGCGACGCGGCGACTGTCGCGCTGCTGCATGGAGAATGTAGATCAATCAATCATAAAATTGTTAAGAAAAACCCTTTATTTAACCAATCAAAGCAGTTTTATCTTTGCACCTCCCATTAATGTTATTTCTCAGTTTATTCTAGTTAATAGATAATGATGGTGATTAACGAACAGGTTTTCCGGATGTGAAACCAATTAATATTGTTTTTAATAAATGAGGTTATCATTGTAACAATAGGTAGTACTTCGGCAGGTTATTGTTTTATTGGAAATTTTCCTGTACTACTTATAGGAACCATAAAATAAGGTCTGTTAATCCCAGTAGATGACCCACCTTCCATGATGTGGTATCATTGAAGGTGGGTCATCTAGAAGACTATTTAGTTAAACCATATTTGCGCTATTTCCGCTGTTTGATTGAGTTTATCAAAGGCACAATCCTTCTCAAAACATTAAAAGGTCGGTAAAGCACTTTAAATAGATTTTTCTGGTATTCCGCGGGACTCGCCACGATTGCTTAGCATCGGGTGATCTGTATTTCGTTGCTATAAAAGAAATAAAGGTAAATCTCACTTTTGCCATTTTTCCCACAAAGTTAGGAGATCTAGTTAAGCAAAGGTGCTATTTGCCTTATAACTATTGTTCACTTTTCCGAACTCCGTGCTGCCGTGTTGAAGAGATTTTCTTGGGACATCACCAAACATCATCATCATCATCATCATCAGCCTATAAGTGCACACTGCTGAGCAAAGGCCTCTTCTGTTACGGCGAAGGTTTGAATTTAACACCACGCTTGCTGAAGGCGGATTGTCGACTTCAAACTTTTAATTAGAAATTATAAGTCCAAGTTTCTTTACGATGTTCTCCTTCACCGTATGTCAAAGTAATCATAGAAAAAACATTTCACTTGGAAAAAGCCACATTGGTACTTGCTAGGTTTCAAACTTGCATCCTTATGCTAGAGAAGCGGGAGAGTTAAATGTCCAGTCCACTATGACAACACCAAGGTAGACCCAAATATTCTAAAAGAACTTTGTCCCAAGATGAAACACTCAGAAATTCCAGATCTCTCGATAGGTAGTCATGCATAAAGTCACTAGATTGAAACAATAATAGTAACTTCTAGAAGTTATTGTTGAATAAGAAATTTCCCTTTGTCACACAGAAAACAATGACTGTTGATGATTTTCCATGAGTAGGTGAGAAAACACAAGACATGTCAATGACTTTCGATTTCAAACGCTATATAAATGTTTTTGTATGGTTGAACTTGATTATGATTCCTCTATTATAATATTAATTACCTAGGCATACTTCGTACCACCTCAAAATCTATACTAATATTATAAAGCTGGAGAATTTGTTTGTTATTTGAACGCGCTAATCTCCAAAACAACTGGTTCGAATTTAATAAGTGCCAGACACTTACAGACTAAAAACCACCTCATTTCTTCTCCTGCTCCAAACTCGACTTCACCACCTTATTGTGGTGAATAGGCTTGTAGTGGCATAGCTTCGTAATTGAAACATAAAATACTAAAATTAACATGTAGTTTAGACCTGGAAAAGGCGCAATTAGCCAAGAAAACAAATTCGACTGTTTTAATAAAGAAGAGATAATAATATGTAAATTGGAAGAATGTTGCCTTAATGAGAGTCTATTTTATTTTGTTGTTTCAAAAGATGTTTTTTTATCGAATTTATTTTTTTATATTGTTTTCTCATTGACAACAAACGGAATGTTGCTCATCTGTTTTTTTAATGGAGTGACAATCATAAAACAAATTTTGTGATTTGGAAACGCATTTTAATCATGAACCTACTTAACGTTAATTTATTGTTTATGTTTTCCTTATAACCTTTTCCTTAACGAGTAAAAGTAATGAATTTTTAAAATCCCTTAAAAGTTTCAGTATTGAAAAACCAATATTTAATTTTAAAATTAATCATTGTAATTAATCAGACAAAAATCCTGACTTCATATTCATACTAAAAATCCAAAAATAACCTACCCGACACATTATAAGTGCACTCTTTCAAAGACTCAAAACTCCGCAGATCATTCCAGACGTTTGGTGAAAATTGCAGACGGTTTTTGGCAATGTATATCTTGTATCCATCCATAGCCTGTATTTGTAAAGAATCCTAACATACATGTCCGTAAAATATCATACCTCTAACTAACCCTACCGGCGACTGTGTGCTAAAAATTTCGCACTTATCAACAAGACAACCTTTGGGACAGTTTAATTTGGACAAAGTAACACATCCTCATTCTCACTCGAAGATGTAATTTACGAGTATATTTTAACCAAAACAGATTAGGAATGACCTTATGAGGTGATTACTTTAACTCCACATGTAATATAATCCACCAGCCGACGTAAGGAACAGAGAAGTGGATGATCATCTCAGGTGACGACTCATGAAGATGCATTATGAAATTCCTTGACTTTGAGTTTGAATCTTTTTTTAGACTGTGGGTCTTGTTGCAAGTTGAATAGGTACCTTAAGAATTATTTCTGCAGCTACAGGCTTCAATCTTCAAAATTCTTCGAAATTGCATTTCTACCTATACTATATATAGGTATAGAATACTCGCGCTCTGTCTTGGTACGAGTGCAATTCAGATACCAAAATTCTCTTTTTATTCACTATTTAAAAGATGTTTTCATTACACATATAAACCTTACTTTGTTAACACTCTATGTATTAAAAAACCGCATCAAAATAGGCTGTGTAGTTTTAAAGATTTAGGCATAAATAGGGATATAGGGACAGAAAAAGCTACATTTTTCTAGTATGCGCCATAATTAAATTTATTGGAAATAACGATTTACTTATCGTCTATGGACGCTTGCAAAACCAGAGGAGTTACGAGTCCGTTGTCGACCTTTTGGGGATTACGGTTTCGGATATTTTGAGTTTAAACTACTGATAGGTTTTTGACAAAAGTCGCTATTAAACCCGAGGTCTTGGAGTAACATTAGCTATTATACCGGCCATTATAAATCGCAAGTTAGAGACTTTAGATTATACCTTTTTAGGATTTTTCTTACGCTCTACTAGCTCTACTAGTTTCAAGTCACAACAGGGCTCATATTTATTGTTTTTTCGATTATGAAAGTGTTTTCCTTCTAAACAGAAGTTAAAAGAAACCCGATATCTATGAATAAACATGGTGTTACGGTAACACTAGTATTTGGGCCAAAGCGATTTATTGCATCGATAAGTCACTTACAAGGCTTCCTCATTCATTTTCAAAACCTTCAAGTTTTATGGAGAGTCCCACCCCACGTGACTCCGAAGTTTACTCATAACAATTCTGAATTTTATAGTATTTCTCTCAAACTTAATTCTTAGTAAAATGCTATAAAATTGCTTTCTCTAAATCACCGTTTCGTATTTATGACAATAATTCTTTCAGCAGTGAAGTTTTGTGATCAATTTTAATTTTGGGCAATTTTGTAGAGTCTGTGAACCATTTTTGCCAGTTTATAATACTGCATTTTAGAAATCAGTAGTTGGTATGTTGCAGTGTATTGCAATATTGTTCAAAAATCCCTATATACTCAATTTTCTTATCCATTAAAGTTCGGCTTGAAAAGAGACTGACCTCTGAGTTTGTTTCGGCATTTCTTCTCAGAGTAGTCAGATAGGAAATGCCGACTTCATCTAGTTTTTCACATATAAATTGACGTGTAAAAGTGCCGTTTTATGGCCTATTTGCAAAAATAAATTAATTGTTTCATTGGCAACCCACTTGACATTCTGATGTTATCTTTAGGAGCAGAACACTAATTGCTTACTGGAGATCAATTCGTACGCTCTATAGTCCTTAAAAAGAAAACTGAAGTCGATATGAATATATTTCTAGAGGTGTAAGCAAAAAACATGTTTAACGTTATGTTTCTGTTTGGTTGCAGGCATGGTTGGAGCCCCTGATGTTGTCAAACCATCAGAAAAGGTCGAAGATCAATCGCCATACGTCAACGGTAACCCAGTTTTTACTATCAGCGGTAAGTAAATTTTTTTATAATGTAGTTCAAAACTAAAATTTAATCCCAATCTGTCGTTTCAAAACTCCTGGATGCCCAATCCTTCATCTCCTCCCCCAATCCCTAAATCTTCAAAACCCTAATCCCCAAAAGACGGGTTACAGCAGAGGAATCACGCTCATCTAGTGCTTCGGGTGTCTATTAGCTACGACGGTTGCGTACCATCAGGTAATCACTCAGCTCGTTTGCCATCTTATCACATAAACCACATATCGACCGAATTAACAATATTTCGATAGGAAAAGACAAAGTTAATAAAATAAGTAGGAAGATGGTTTAGACAGTTTAATTTAGTAGTTTCAGCAGTCAATGCGAGATTCTTTCAAATACTTAATCAATAAACAAAAATATTTACTTAAAAATCTTCTATATATATACTTTGATAGTCTACTTTCAATATAATTTAATAATTCAAAAGAAATAAGTATGCTGTTTGGAGCAAAAATTTATGACGTCACACACACACTTTATATTTCATAGCATCGGTATGCCGTTTTCAACATTTTGAAAAAAATACATATTATGAATTTGAGTAGTTAGAAAGTACTTAATGAATTTGTGTGTTAATAGCAAAAAATTACACAGTTTTTCTCCATTTCAAAAGTGTTTGTGATACATTAATTTGAATTGTAATAATGATCAAAAACCGTGATAAAAATACGTACTCATACATATATTGTGAAGTTAATCGTCAATTAAATCGATATTTTAATACTAAATTAACATAACAACTACAGAACCGTTTCGAAATAATATGGAGTGTACTGTGTTTCAGAGAATTACTAGCTTTTACCCTCGACTTCGCCTACCTTCACTACCCATCTACCTTACCTACTCTATCCTATGTTCTACTTCTAGCTTGAAACTATATCCCCGCCAATTCTCAACGAAATCGGTTCAGCCGTTCTTGAGTTATACCCAAATTGTGTAACTAACACGACTTTCTTTTATATATAGGTACATATCTTTCTTTAATAGATTTAATTGAAACAGTAGGTAAAATAAAATACTATTTGAAGATACTTAATTGGTTTAAAAATAAACTTATAAAAGTAAATCGATGGAGTTCGAACCTTGGGTTCGTTTACTTATCAACGTCAAGTGTTTATTTTCATTTTTCTTATCGTTTACGCCTTTTTAGCACACACTTAAGCGATTATTGTTAACGCACATTTAAAAGATTAACTACTAAATCTTTGCGAAAAATACAGATAAGTCTTAAACTATGTTTTAATTGTAAAAGTATTGTGAAAATCTATACTTCTATACTAATATTATAAGAGGTAAAATTTGTAAGTTTGTATGTAGGGGGTAATCTTTAGAACCACTGGTCGGATTTCCAAAATTATTTCACTGATAGATAGCTACAATGTTCCTGAGTGCTATAAATAGGCTATAAAACATCACGCGACAATTAAATGGAGCCGAGCAGCGGGGGAAACCGCGCGAGAGTAGCTAGTACTTAATAATTAGAGAAGATTAACCATGGAATTTCTTGCTCGTTCTTCTCCATCGGAATCTACACTTTGAAACGAGCAAATACCTTCACTAAAAGGACTGACCGACAGACTGACACTTTTATTTTTAATTTTAATTTCAAAAAAGAAGTTCAAAAGTGCCTGTAAGGGTCGAATAGAAATAACAATTAATTTTCCCTTTTGAAAGAGTTTCTTTTTAGTTATTGAAAAGTTTTTTTGAAAAGACTATTTATGTTACCTACATAAATACTTTTTTAGATATTTTATAAGATAATTCCTTACATGTATTAGACTGCATATTAGTAAGAATTCATAATACTAAAATGTTGTTATAAATTAATTAAATATCGCAACTCCTCTGGGGTTCTGTCCATGAGCTGCGCCGATTGCTTACCATCAGGTAATCCGACAGCGAAGTTGCCGCCGTATCACATAAAAAAAAATAAGTGCGCACCAGACATGGCTTCTTATCTTCATATTATTATCTTTCTCTCATTATGGTTGATCAAAACAAAAGTGCGTCGATTATGTAACCACCCTAAATCGGCGAGCATGCGTGGAGAGATGAAATCAGCTACTCCATGTAATTTTGCTAAGTCATTAATTTTAAACGGAAGTATTTTAACATGTATATTTTTTCATTTTGTTTGAAGTATTGTAAGTCATAAAAATTTATTGATAACTAGCGACCCGCCCCGGCTTCACACGGGTGCAATCATCATCATCATCATCTACTGCTGGACATAGGCCTCCCCAATTGCACGCCACTGAGCTCGATTCAGCTCTGCTCATCCAACCATTGCCAGCCACCCTGCGGATGTCGTCAGTCCACCTAGCTGGAGGGCGTCCTACACTACGTTTGCCTAGACGTGGTCTCCACTCTAGAACACGTTTACTCCAACGGTCAATGCTGATACTAAACTTCTCTACTATTTAACATTTCCTCTTTAATCACTCTACATATTTATTAAAAAAAACCGCATCCAAAAATCAATGCATAGTTTTAGAGCATACGTAGGGATATAGGGACAGAGAAACCGTCTTTGTTTTATACTATGTAGTGATGCAGTTATCAGAAAGAAGAAAGAAAGAAAACACATTTATTCGACAAAGTATAGTATATATCAGTTAAATCCCATAGAAATTCTACTAATTAAAATCAAAGTTTTTCTAAAACCACTTTCTCTGCGTTCAGACATGTTAAGATACAGATCTTTATCAGATAAAAGATAAAAATCAATTAAGTATCGATAATTAAATCCATGCCATTAACAACAATCGATTAATCGATACCAATCGAGTGCGTTGAACGTCGACCTGAATAGCACGAACAAAGATTTTAACTATCGTTTCACTATTTCCTGAAAAACTAAACGTGTTGTTGATTTAGTCATAGATACTTAATAAGGATTCGAGAGCAAGGTCTCTGGTTCATTAACCCGAAATAGAAAGATATAAACATATTGACTCATACTTACGTCCCTGAAAGAGACATTAAGTCAAGTCAAGTCAAAATTGTTTATTTCAATTAGACCCTTTTTGTGAGGTGAAAATTAGAAATGTCTTCTCTCGGCCAAGGTGTGGTGTTAGAAAGTGTCAGACTCTTATGCTTGGGCCACACTAACTGGAAATGCCAATAATTATCGCGATAATTGGTGATACAATACAATGAAAAAATTACCTTAAGTCATTTGCTTAGTGTTCAAATTACACCTACGGTTATCGTCCATTATTGCGATAAATAATGGCATTTCCCGTTAGTGTGGCCCAAGCATTACTGACTAAAGCGCCCGTGAACGGGACAGTTTTAAGTCAGTAAGAGTCTGACTTCCCCCTTCGCTCTTCGCCCTAACCAAAGAAGGAAAAGTGTTTAAATGATTTTCGTCACTTAGAAATATCCTCTATTCTATTTTAAAGAGCTTAATCATAACATAACAATGTGAAATATTATAAGGCTATTTAAAAAGTCAGTACTTAGAAATGTTTCCCGATGTTCTTTAATTATTATAGATAGAGTCAATTACTATATTTGTACCCTTCGGGGAATACCACACCGCTATATGCGAGGCCACACTCATATTATAGATAATGCAATTTTCTTTGCCTTGCAGATAGGTACAGGTTTATCAGTACATGCAATGCATTGACCGATTAGTCCTTAGTTCTAAGTCAAATAATAGCAGTTATAGGTTTGGCAAGTTAACATAGTTATTAACTTTTCTATATCTTTTTTATACCTACATTGTAACTTGGTCCTGCGTGTGGTGGGCCGTAAGTTAAGGCGCCCGTTTCTCATCCACGAGGGTTTGAATCCTGGCAAGACCCAATGTAACCTTTTTCGAGTAATACGTACTTATTTTCTATCATTATTGAGACACCACTGACATACGGTGAAGGAAATCATCGTGAAACCTGGACTTATAATTTCTAATTATAAGTTTAAAATCGCCAATCCGCCTTGAGCAAACATGGTGATTATTTTGATCCTCAACAGTGGGCACTTATAGGCTGATGACTTTTCGCCCTATGATATCTGATTCTAACGTCTCGATTGGCTTCTCATCCACGAGGGTTTGAATCCTGGCACGACCCAATGTAATTTATCCGAGTAATACGTACTTATTTTCATTATTGAGACACTACTGACATACGGTGAAGGAAAAACATCATGAGGAAACCGGACTTATAATTTCTAATCATAAGTTTAAAATCGCCAATCCGCCTTGAGCAAACGTGGTGATTAATTTCATGCTCAACAGTGGGTACTTATAGGCTGATGACTTTTCGCCCTGTGATACCTGATTCTCACGTCTCGATTCGCTTCAACTTTTGAGTGGATAGTAAACGCTGACATATTATGTATTATGGAATATCTCATTGTGTTTTTTTACCTTACGATCCCCTTATGTTAGGCAGTTGAAACCACTCATGGATGCCCATAATACCAGGGGAGTTAAGATTTTTAAGGAGCTCAGGAATTTGCAGATTAACAGTACGAAAAAATACAGTTAGGCACAAAAACATTGATTTAAAATGTTTAGGTCTGTAGCCTAATTTAGTGGTTCCTGTCACAGTACTCATAAATCAGTTTTAATTTTCTAACCAGCTTATTAAATTCTTTGTTGGTTGAACATTTTTTGGGCAAGGAAAATATTCGAGTGACTTCTCGCACCCTGGATGGAGTGTTAGACTCATACTGACTAAAAACTCCCCGTTCCTTCTCCTGCTCCAGTCAGAGACCGCGAAGACATTACTTTTAGGACTATTACCTGCAAAGAGGATCTAACCAATTCGCCTTAATACAAAGTGGTGTGACATTAATCAAATAAAAAAAAAACGCAAAATAAACACTACTTAGTAAAGTTAACAGTAACTGTATTTAAGATAGTTTTACGATAAACATAATGCGGAGAAGTTCAGGAAAATCCCTTGTTTAAGATAATAAAACGATTTAGTTTATATCTCTGTGTGTGTGTGCGTAAC